ACTAATTCTCAAATTAAATTTCTTTAATTTTTTTTTTTTTTTGTCAGTCATAGGGCTTGAACTCTGGGCCTAGGCGCTGTTTCTCAGCTCTTCAGCTCCAGGCTAGCACTCTACCACTTGAGCCACAGCGCCACTTCTGGTTTTCTGGTGGTTTATTGGAGATAAGAATCTCAAGGACTTTCCTGCCCTGGCTGGCTTTGAACCATAATCCTCAGATCTCAGCCTCCTAAGTAGCTAAGATTACCGGTGTGAGCCACCGGTGCCTGGTGTTTGGATTAAAATTCTTATTGTAAAATTCTTATTAATTCTTGAATTAAAAAAGCCAGACTGTCGGTGTGGCTCATGTGGTAGAGCATCAGCCTTGAGAAAAAAAGCAAAAGTTAAGGAACACCACCAAGACCCTGTGTTCCAGCTCCAGTACTGGCACACACACACACACAGACACACAGACACACACACAGAGACACGTGTGCACTAACACACACACACAGACACGTGTGCACTAACACACACACACACACACACACTTCTATACACTGTCTTTTCGTATCAAAAGCTTTGGACCAGGGTCTATCTTCAGCTGTGCCCTTTCCTGGCTGTATGACCTTGAACAATGAAGCTCCTTTTCTGGAACTCAAGGTTTTGTGTTTCCTTCTCTAGAAGGGAGATGAAAAGTGTCAAATAGACTTAAAGGTGTGAAGGCAGCAGGAACTGTGAAGGGCTGAACAATGTTATCAAATGAGAGACAGCCCATCTCTCCTTACCAGCTGCCCTTATCAGAATGCTCAGTGCTAGGCCAAAGACTTGTGCTCCAGACGTGCCTTCCTGACAGCCTGTGAGGACCTGACCCTTCCCCTTCTGTGTGAGTGGCCCCTGCCCTCATTGTGGGCAATTTAATGTAATTATTTGATATATTTTCCTAACCCCTGAGGGTAGGAACAGTGTGCTGGCTAGGTGCTTTTGTGTCCCTGGGGACTTCTGAATTCCTAGGTATTCAGCTAATAGTTGTGCAATTAGTGGGTAAAATGGGGTCCTGGCCTTTGAAATTAAGGGTGATTACAAAGTATTTTGAGCTCAATAGCTTTACAAGATCCATTACCTTTTCTTTTTTATAATAATGCAAAAATACTGGAAAGGACCAAAATGTCATAGAAAGCTTGGTGTAAATGATTACTTTTTGTTGTTGTTGTTGGTTGTGGGGCTAGCCCCTGAGCTCTTTTGTTCAAGGCTAGAACTCTATCACTTTGAGCCACAGCACCACTTCCAGCCCAGGCTGGCTCTGAACCATGATTCTCAGATCTCAGCCTCCCGAGTAGCTAAGAGATTACAGGTGTGAGTCACCAGCACCCAGCTGATTAAATGATTCTTCTTTTTTATCCAGTCCTGGGGCTTGAACTCAGGGCCTGGGCACTGTCCCTGAGAGTCTTTTGCTCAAGGCTAGCACTCTACCACTTGAGCCACAGTGGCACTTCCAGCTATTTCTGTTTATACAGTACTGAGGAATCGAACCCAGGGCTTCATGCATGAAAGGCAAACACTCTAACAGGAAGCCACATTCCCAGCCCTAAATGATTCTTAAGGTACATTATTCAGAGGAGTACAAAGAAGAGTAAAAGCACAAAGAGATCTTTTTACTTTGTATTAAGTAAAAAAAAAAAAATGAAAGCTGAAGGTATCTAATGATCTAATAGTGAAGATATATATATATATATATATATATATAAATGAATGTATATGTATATATATATGCATGGAAAAAGACAGGGACAATTCCACACGTACAAAGAACAGTAATACTACTAGGTGAGATACATTTTTCTCTTTCTAAAAGGTCAATTTCATTTAAAAATGTATTAAACATTTCTAGGAAAAGCAAAAATGGAGGCAGAAAACACTGAGGGTGTGAATGGAGAGGAACAGTAAAATGACAGGAGGCATCTCCTGTCATTTATGAACGGAGGTTCATAAAATATTCGAAACTGATTGGTAAAAATTACTATTAAAATCATTAAGTTGTACATTTGAAATACACATTTATATGTTTGTATCCTTAAAAAATAAAGCATAAGTATTTAGTCTTTGTGTGTGTGTGTTGGTCGTGGGACTTGAACTCATGGCCTTGGGTGCTATCCCTGAGCTCTTCAGCTGAAGGGGAGCACTTACCACTTGAGCCACAGCACCACTTCCCATTTTCTGGTAGTTAATTGGAGATTAGAATTTCAGACTTCCTGCCCCAGCTGACTTCAAACCATGATCCTCAGATCTTAGCCTCCTAAGTAGCTAGGATTACAGGGGTGAGCCACCAGTGCCAGGCTAAAGTCTTTTGTTGTAACACCCAATTCTACTTTCCAGGTACTGTTTGGTCTTTCTTTCTGGCTTGTTTCTATTCAGAACTCAACATTATTATAGATATATCCTTTTTGTAACTTTCTTCTTTCTGTGCGTAGGTCATAAGGGCCATGAAAATGTAACGTTATCTGCTGTGGGAATGAGATTGGGGTAGAAGGAGTTGTAATGGGGCAAACAGGGGGAGGGACACTTTTTTTTTTTTTTTTACATTTTCTTTACTTTTGTATCTTTTTTTTGTCATGAGTGTTTGGAGTTGTAAACAATGAAGATTTCAAAATATGAGATACTATGGAATCCTTAATGCCATGAGTCCTCCTCAATCTTTGTGACACTTCGTGTCACTGTGTCACACACAAACCTTTGCGGCAATACTACCTCTTCCATGGCAGATGAGTACACTAAGACCTAGATTTGCCTGAATCCCACTGCTAAGTGCGTACTGAATCCGGATCCTCACACCGCGTCTTTTTCCTTGTTGGCCTAATGTTCATACGACAAAACCCAACTTTTAACACTCTTATCTCCTGGGCACAGATAGTCTTGCCCAGCCTACTCAAGCACAAAAATGCCCCAGGTGTGGTGCCACAAATGTAGATGAGTGTTTCAGGCAACCGAGGAGCTCCAGAGAGTGTGCTCTGAGTTGAAGAAGATGATGAAGATGATGAATAGATGAGGTGGGAATCTGGTGCCCAGCACCCACCTCAGGAGCCTCCCAAGTTACAGACGATGGAAAGGACAGTTTTGTAGATCCGCGTGCCTGAAGGTCAAGCTGGTCTGAAGGACAAAGGGGAAGAGGCGTGCCTTGAAGCCGAAGGCCAGATGGTCAAAGCCTTCTTCTCACTGGAGTGTTCACTCTTCTTTTTTCTTCTGTCAGGAAACGGAGCTGTTGGAAGAGTCGAGCTTCCTCGGGACACCGAGGGAAGCGGTGTGGGAGGTCCCCCCTTGGCCTGACCCCGGAATTGGATGGTCAGATCCGTGGCCTGAGGCTGGGACCTTCTCTGGGGTAAGGACCTGGTGCCCCTCACCAGTGAACCCCAGAACCCTGCCCCGTGCCTGGCACACGGGACAGACTCAGCAGGGCCTGAAGGATACTGGACACCAATAAGGTGCCTGCCACCAACCGTAAAATAAAAGCTGAACCTTTACTGACTTGGCGACAGGCCTCAGGAACAATACCCCGTCGGTGCTCAGACCCAGCCCTACGGAGGAAAAGAAGTCCCGGGCCCAAACTGCACGTCTGGGAGCTCCACCAAGGGCGCAGACTTCGGTTCCGTGTCTCGTTAGGCGCCAGGAGAATTCACACCTATTGTTTCCTGCCATCTTCCCGACCGCTGCTACGTTACAATCGCAACTGTCCCAGTTTCTCCGACGTGGAAACTGAGGCTCAGAGTGGCTCCGTAACTTGGTCAAGGTCACACAGCTCGCGAGTGGGCGGGGAGGAGAGGCTGGCGAGGCGGATCCGGTAACCAGTCAGAGCACGGGGCCGCCCCTCCTCCACCCGGGAGGCCTGGCGGCGCCTCCCCCGCCCCTGCCCCAACCCCCTTCCTCGGCGAGGCGGCCGGGGCAGCGGCGCGTGCCGCACTGGAGCGCGAGGTTTGGGGAGGCCCGCACGCCATCGCCGCGGCCGCCAGCCGCTCCCAGGTTCGGAACTTACGAAGTTTCCGTACACTTCGTTCGCCTCCCAGCGCAGCTCGAGGGCGCTCCCTTGGCGGTTACGCCGCCAGCGCAGCGGGGCTCAGGTGCTGCGGCGGGCGGGGGCCTAGCTCTGGGAGGGAGGCCGGGACGCAATGTACGTAAGGGTCCGCTTACAGGTGCATGCGGCCGCCGCCAGCGTGAGCTTCCTGCGCGCCCCAAGGTGCGCAGTTGGCGCAGGCGGCGGCGGGCGCTGGCCGGCTCTCTCAG